GAAAGCTATTTCCCAGCTTGCCTGCTACCTCACCGGCATATACACAAGTTCATGCGAAAGTCATATTTGGGATTTATAAAAATTAACAGCAAGGGCTCCCCCATTTAGGTAAGAGTTGCTTAGGCATGCGCAACCTCAGAGATGGAAAGATGGTTACCTCGAAGCTGAGGCTGCATGTCAAAGCACACGGTGGTTGCCACTTAAGTGTGTGTTTACCTGAGGTCAATAGGGGGCTCTCTAAAAGCCATTCCTTAGGTGCCGTCACTGGAAATAACAATGGGAAGGATTTTGATGAGCTAAAAAAAAGACATATTCCTAAGTTTTATTGAAATGTGAACAAAGCTACCTCTACATCCATACTGATTCTACCTCTTGTCTGGCTGAGTGATGGTAATACCCAACCTCTTCTATTCTCACTCATCCCTTCTTCCCTGGGGACCCACACTCAGTAATGTGGACACTCACAGAGATCCAGAGAAACATTATATACCAGACAGCAGGCCATCTTTAAGTCCCTGTTGCTTCAGAAGATTCTTTCATGGCTTCAGAGAACCTCTTAAATACCACCAAACCACTGTCTTTTCTCCCAATCTCACTTCTATGACATGTTGTGTTTCCAGTGCCCAGGGAATGTGTGCTGTGCCCAGAAGTAGCATCTTGGGCATACAGTGTGGTTTCAGATTTCACTTTTACTTTCTTCTTTTATCTCTTTTTGATTTTTTTTTCCAATTTTTTAGATTTTTCATTCTTTCCTTTTCATTCTTGTAATAGTTGGGTTCATTAATCCCTGGTACACTTTGAAAACACCTAAAAAGATCATATTTTGGGATTGTGTCAATGTGACCAGGAATGATGAACCCACAATTATATATATATTATATTTATGTGCCCTAAGATTGCTTATTTAAAACCTATAAAAGTCATATCATCATTACTTAACTTGGAAAAAAATAGATGGTGAGACCAAGGAGATACAAGAATAGGCATTTCATGTGGTTACTCTACAAAATGCATATGGTGGAATGCTGCAGACTTGCTCTCAGTAGACCACTGGCGCATTTTTAAACCAACCCCAAAAGGAAATTAATGACTAGTTCTGTGACTCACAATGTCCACATGACTAAAACTAACCAATTCTTTAGGAGAAGTTCGCTTTTTAAAAATATGTTCATATAACTGGAAAGAAAATTGTCCAGGGTATGCTCATAAAGAGAATCATGAACAATATCTTCAACTATATCATGAAAAACACCTGAGGGCACACCTCAGAACATCCTCTAGAAAAGAATAGCATGACACCAAAGAACACTTTGGTCAAAGCCATCGCAACAGCATGGAACAGAGGGCAATGTAGCAAAGGCCAATGGAGCTGCCCACAGAACATCCTGAAGAACAGATGGAGAGACAGCTCTTCATGAACTTGGGTGCCTCCTACCAACCCTTTTGCAGAGTGGTACAGAGACAGAGGGTGGACTTCCTGTCAAGTACTGACCCTAGGACCCCAGGTGCTAAAGAAAGGCAAGGGCATTTGTTTTCACATTTCTGCAAGTTAAAAACGAGCTTGAATTTCTGTCTTGAAAGCTAAAGAATCCTAACAGAAGGAGAACCAGAAAAGGTACCCGCCTCATCTTCCCTCAGTGATGAATTGGGAAGGAGTCCTCAATTCCCTGCCTGAAAGGGAAGGACCAGTATTCTTCTTTATTTTTTTTGGGGGGGGGCGGTTGGAGAGTGAGGGAGAGACTCCTCTTTTGTTTTTCCCTTTTTCTCTTTTTGTCTGCTCTCATTGACATTCTGGACTGCCAACTTTTTCAGCTTCAAGTCTGGGATTTAGGAGGTAAAGAGAAAATTCTGAGAACTCACCATGTTTCCCCCTTGGATCCCAGGATCCCAAGGCAGTCTGCCACCTTCTTATTGTTGCCAGTCTTCTTATGCTTGTTTATCTCTAACGTCCAGGGTTTTTAGTTGTACTTACCACGAAAGAATTGAGAAGCTTCCCTGAAGTTGAAGTTTTTAAATTATATTTTAATTTTAATATTCACTCCTTTTTTCTATTCTATTGCATGGCAGAGGAAAATGTCCATCAAAAATTCTATGGAGACATTGGGAGGCAGAGCATGCATCCTAGATAAAGGACTCCTGATGATCCCTGCCCCAGGGATTCATTCGCTGGGCTGTGGCCCCTCTCACTCTCACTCTCTTTGAAATGCTGCAAACCTCTGAAGTCTGGACTCTCCTTAGAGGCTCCAAGTTCCCGGCCCCCTCCTCAGGTCCTGAACCTCACCTGCTAGGGGGTCTGAAATTTGCCCAGACTCCTTTTTCCTTCTTAAGAAAGCCTCTGATCCTGGAGCTCAGGGACATCTGGAATCCAGTGCAGGCTGGTGCAGCAGCAGCTATTCCTTGAACTTGAATTTCAGAAATGCTGAGAAGGCTGTGCCTTGCCTCCGTGGTCAGATCCGGGAATATGAGCACACAGCATTTTCCTCTGAATCAGGCATCCAGCTTCTTTCTTTCAAACATTTTCCCTCACAAATTGTGGAAAGAAAACAATGAACTGTACATTGACTTGGTTCCGATTTCACATTTCCTCTGTCCAAGGGAAAGGTCCAAGTATGGGTTTTTGCTGAGGGATGGGTCCCTTAGAGGATCATGTTACAAAAACCATGTGCAAAGGCACGACTGAACTGGTATCCCTTTCTTCAGCCTGCGTCAACAATCTGCCCTTTTCTTCCTTCATAAATTTTCTTAATTGGATAGTTGTTTAACATGTCAGTCAGGATGGGGAGGGAGGATGTAGCTGGCAGATTGTATTGTGTAGGCATGATAATCAACTTCGGGAAACTCTGTCTCTAGGTAAAAAATAAAATTGCAAAAAATTAAATAAATAAAGAGCTGGGGATGTAGCTCAGTGGTAGAACGCCCACGGGTTCAATTCCCTGTACAGCAAACAAACGAACAAAAAAACAGCAAGAGAAGATTAAATAGCATGATAATCTCCAAAGACAAATGGAATTCTTCCAAATTCATAAACATACAAAGCTCACTAGCATTAGTTGGTTGGCTTGTATCCCCTGCATCTCTTTTCTGCTTAAACAAATATTGATACACACACACACACACACACACACATGCATGTGAAGTAAGATACACGTACAGAAACATGCACAGAACATTAATAATACCTACGGTTTAATGGACTATTTAAAAGCAAATATGTGGTCAAAAAACAGAACATTGTGACTTCCTGAAATGGCCCTGCTCTGTCCTGTCCTGTATCATGTCCCTGCTTTTCTTTATGTATCCCTTAGCATAACAGCTGCCTTGACTAAGTTTTTCATTTTTAACCTTCTGATGAGTGGCACACTGGGTCTTCTTTTGCTCTGTGTGGTTTTTGAGCATCAGTCATGTTGTTGGTATCTGTCATTCATGGTTTATGTGTGAAAAAGCCACAGTCGCTTATCCATTCTCCTGTCAATGAATATCACAGGTTTGTTTCCAGGTTTCAACATGCATAAAGTTTCCATAAACATTTTTTTTATCTGTCTTCTAATGCACATTTTGGAATACACTTAAGAATGGAATTATGGATCATTGGCTAACTTCAGAAGAAAATGTTTTCTAAAATGATTATATTAATTTAATTTCCAGTGGCAGTGGTTAAAGTTTCTGTTGTTCCAAATCTTTGCCAAGACTCAGTATTCTGAGTCTTACTAAATTTTAGCTAATTTGGTTGTGCATAGATGTATGTGTGGCTGCCATTTGTGCTGCACTGAATATCAATGATATTTAGCATCTTCATATATATATTAGCTATCTGAATGGCATAGATAGACAATGCTTCATTTTTTCAGTCTTTATTGATGAGCATTTAGAACCTTCTCTTTTATTTTATGTTATGACAACAATGAGCCTCATTTTACATGTATTTTGTGACATTTATTTTGCATAATTATACAGCACTTTGGTAGGATAAATTATTTAACTCCATATGATAAATATATTGTAATAGTCATCATTATGTTATTTGCATATGCAAGGATTAGTGTAGCTTTATGGAAATTAATGTTTTGAACAGTCAACTAAACTTTTCTAAAGTCCTCTCATGCAAAACCAAAAGAGAAAGAGAGTTAAAAAGAATTTCCTAAATTTTGCAAGTTGCCTGATAGTAAGTCACATGATTTTGAAAGAGTATCTTATATACAAAAAAGTTACAGAGCCTCCTTTAGTGGTTTAATGCTGCACTACTCAAAGCATAATCCATAGACCAGCAACATCATGGAACACTCAGTTGTATATGCAGAAATTCAAGCCCTACACCTGCATACTAAGTTGGAATCTAGATTTAACAAGATCCCCGATGCCTGTTAAATTTGAGAAACAATGTCTTAATATATGATATGAAACAAGTGGAGACTAATAACCCTATTTTTCCCTAATGAGATCATGTTCTATGGTGTTCTATGAATTTCCATGATCTTTACATGTAGAGGCTATAAAAATACAGAATTGTGATTGCATTGGATGAGGGTTACTCATGGCAAAACTTTTTAAAGGCTGAAATAATATCGATACATTACTTTGTGAAAAGCTCATTACTTTCAAAAAGCATATTCACTTTATTCTTCAAGTCTATGGATTATTCTCATAAAGTAGCAAAGGCAGAGATTATTGCAACTGTTACACTGAGACTTAGAAAATGTGGGTGGCTTCTCAGCTTCCCAATGCTCCCAACCTTGGTGGTCTTGCCAGGATGAATGTGGCTTCATAACTAATATTGGAAGAAAAGGAAGAAGCAAAAGTTGGAAAATCAATTCCAGTATCCCAAGTGGAGCTCTGGATAAGTATGAGCAATCTAAGTTCAAACCTAACTGACTAACTAACTATATATATATTTTAACCATGGTTTGTGTGGACTCAAAAGTGTTAGCTGAAATGTTAAGTGCTTCACTTGGCCAAATACAACTTAACCCAGCTGCCTCTTGGAGAAATTTTGTGACATGAATTGGCATTCCTGTTCAAGTTCATGACTAGGCACAACCCAGGAGCACTTCCTGGCTGTTCATCCTCAGTGTGATCTGTGTGGTCTAGTGGCTCCATAGCATGAGATGTGTAAGGAGGCCTAGCCCTAAAGGCAGGGGAAAGAGCTGCCCAGCCTGTTTGCAAAGCTCTCTTTCTTTTTTTTCTCTCTGCATTCCCAGTTGCCAGGATCTTCAAACAGAGATTTCCATTCTCCAGGAGCAGATCTCTCATTTGCAGTTTGTGATTCACTCCCAGCATCAGAACCTGCGCAGCATCATCCAGGAGGTCAGGCTAATCGAGTGCATTTCTCTGGTAGATGGTATGTTTACAGCCTGAAGGCCGAATATGGGTAGCTTGCCTGGACTTTAGAAGCGATGGGGCTCTTCTCCCCAGTGATGTATATTTTTGCTTTCTCATGCAACATGGCTCAGTTCTGAGTATCTTCTGTTACAAACAGAAACACCAGCACCTGCCATATTTTCAATAAGGACCATTGGGAAATTGTGTTTAACTGCTTTTTAGGTGTTCCACTGATGTTTGTGTAGGTGTTCTGAGTCAGATACCATGCACTGTTATTCAGAAGATTTTGTATATTATTCATACTTTTCAAAAATAAGAAGTTGGGGCTGGGATTGTGGCTCAGTGGTAGAGCGCTCAACTAGCATGTGTGAGGCCCTGGGTTCGATCCTCAGCACCACATAAAAATAAAATAAAAGTATCGTGTCCAACTATAACCAAATAAACAAAATATGTTTTAAAAATAAGAAGGTATCTTGTTTAATAACCTTATAATTAGTAAATTCGTTTAGAATGTGTTTTAGGGTAGGAACTAGCCTGTTCTCTAGGAATACCCTGGCAGGAGAAAAAGAATAAGTAATAGTGTTAGCAACCAGTGAGATGGTGGAATGTACAAGACAGACTTCAAGATGTGTATGTAAAACTGGACTTCCATTTCATGTTTTTATATATAACATTTGTTTCCAGAAGGAATCCTTTTAAAATAATCCCAGTGCTTTCCTGACACAAGTCAGCACTTGTATTCATTTGGCCATGGCTTCAATAAAAGGCCAGAAAAGGCCAGAAAGTTGAGGAGTGGGATTTGAGAGCCAGGAGAGATCTTGGGGGCATCTCACACTCACATTTTACAGATGAGAAGACCAAGGCTCATAATGGTTCAATGGTAGAGCTGGTGGTAACAGCGCTGGCTTCAGAATCCACTGTGCCCTCTCTTGGGCACTGTTCTGCACCTCACTACCCCATGTCTTGTTTCTGCATGGCCTCTTGGCAAAGCAGGTCACATCTTCCTGCCACTGCTTGACAAGCAGACTCAGGGAGCTTCTGCATTCCCCATGCGCCTCGCCTTCAGTCTATCAGCAGATGCATCTGCAGGAGGAGGCCAGGAGGTTGCTGAGACCTCTGGGGAGACCAGTGCTACTCTCCACAGGATGGGCTCCTGCTCAATTTGGTGTGAATAGGTTCTTCAGAAGTTAAAATGTATAACAGCACCATCTGAGGACTTTCCTCTCCAGGTGCTAATTTGGCTTGCGATTTTCTGTAGCTTGCTGAGTCTGTTAATTCTGGGAGGTATCATGCTTTTATTTGATGAGCACCATTTGGCCTCAGAAAACCATATGATTTCTGACTTAACTATTCCTTGTGGCCTGACAAGATTTTTCCAATTGTGCCCCCTAATTCTTAGATGGAAGGATTAAAAAATAATTTAAAAGAACAAGATAAAAGAATAGAAAATCTGAAAGAAAAAGTCAACATCCTTGAAGCCCAGGTAAGAAGGGAATCTGTGGTACAATTCAGCCTGGAGTGTGTGTGTTTGTGTGTTTCAGTGAGCTTATGTGCGAGTGTGTGTGTATGGGTTTGTGCATGACTGCATGTCTGTGTGACACTATTCTGAGTGTGTATGCGTGGTTGCTTAGAGCTGTGTCTGAGTGTCCACACATCAGTGTGTATGCTTGTGTGTACATACAGGTGTCTTCTTCTGAGCATATGCATATGAATGTTCTATGCATAAGAAATCACATCTTTTGGAGGAATATTTATAATAATCATTATTAAATTACTAGTATTTAAATCATTTAATGGCATTATTAAATCGACAATAACATTATTATATATCAAGTAATTGTTAAGCATCCACATTTTCCATTATACTTGATGTACTGGCAAGACAGATGATGACCTTTCCACATGGCCTTGGATCTGAAGTTTGTTCAAGGCCACTCTTATGTAAATTCCACTCTAGCCAGATGGCCAGGCTTCCTGTTGCCTGCCTTTGTTCCCACACAGGTTTCTTTCCCAGCCTGAAATGTCCTCCTTTCTCCTCTCTCTTCATCCATACTCATCTTGGTTCTCCAGCTTTGCATCTGCACTCACTTCCAGAAACCTGTTGCAATTATCCACTTTCGCCTGTTTGAAAGTCCGGCACAATACTTTCTGATTTCCTGTGATAAGACATGCTTTTCTTCCCCTCCACTCCACTCGCCCCTCCTCTCCATCCCTTTTCTGGCATTCAGTGACAATCCTGGGCAGGTGGTGGCCCTACCCCAGAGGTAGTGCAGCCAAGCCCCCGCCCAGGTTGGAGCACAGGCACAAGACCAAAGGGCACCTCCACCCCCACTGTGTCACCTCTTTGTCTGCATCAAGGGCTCATTTCCAACTGACTGAACCCACGTACTTTTCCGACTTTATCCTTCAGTATTTTGATTTCCTGATGGATATCCATCTGCCAATGTCGTCCTGTACTGTGGAAGACAGAGATGCTCTGAACTCCACTGGAAACCTGCAGCAACTTTTGGAACTTTCCTCCTCCTCAGCATAGACCAGGAAGGAGCCCCATGACTACATCTTATTTCTGTAGGATTCCGTGCACATAAAGTTGTGGAGTGTACATGGCTCACTGTGTCCACTATATTGAAAGTAGTTGAACTTTTACTCATTTCATTCATTTGTTCACATCACTAATGGTGTAATTAGTTCTACAGGTATTGAGTGACTACTCTTACCTAGGCACTGAATTCAGGAAAACAGTGTTGAAATAGAGAAATCATGAGACCCGCACTCTGGAGTTTATGACCAGTGAATCAAACTGAAACACCCACGTATTCTAGACTACATTCTTAGGTTGGAAACTGTTCAGTGGCCTACCAGCCTATTTTGGCTCCAATAAACTACTGCTTTAATTACTGTGCATCTGTGATCAATTTTAATTGGAGGGATTATTTTAGAGCTGGTATCTTTCTCTGATCTTTCACTTCATTATGGTCCTGGGCTCTGGTCATACCTAATTAAGTGCCAAGTCTTCTCACAGAGTCAATGAATCAGTGGTGCTCCTGCTTCTAATCCAATTTTATGATCTTCAATTGTGTCTGTTCATATCATCCCCAAAGCAGATTTTATTGTCTTAAGTAAAATGGTAATTTATCCTACACACTGTACATTATTGATCCAATTGGCCTTTTGGTCTAATAGTAAGTGCAGGAAAAGATACATTTTGCAAGTGATAAAACCTGAGATTCAGAGAAGTTTAAAAAAAAAAACTTGTTCAAAATCACTTAACTAGCAGGTGGCAGAATCTGCGTTTTAGTCTACTTGACTTTAAAGCATATGACTCCTTTTCACACAATATCCACTTATCAAATGAGCATGTGCGCATGTGTGTGTATAAATATATGTGTATCATGTGTGAAATATAATGGAAGTGGTTATTTAATATATATTTTGAAATGAGTAGTTATAACATTAAATTGGGATAACCATTATTTTATCCATTGTCACAGTTACTGTTTTAAATATTTTCTATTTTATTCTTATTTTGATGACATGGAAGTAATTTTTTCTATTTTAGCAGTTTTATTCTTGTAACTCCCTCCAAATAGAAAATAAAATTGACTCATATCAAGTTCCTTAGAAAAACTTTTAAATACATAGAAAAGTCTCTTAAACCTCTTTTAAATATCATGAGAAAATACTTAACTCTACCTAAATTGCTTGCTTTCTTTCTACTTTTCCATGTCTTTCATCATCTTGATTTACAATGCTGACATTCATGCATTTCTAACTTCTTTTACTAATGATCTGTTCTTATGGGAGATTAAGTGTACAAAAATTACATTCTTTAGGAACCCTGTTTAGTAAACTTTCCTAGGATAAAGTCATAACAATGACAGACAAATTCTGGCTAGTGATTTGTAGTTTTATAAACAAATGATTTAATAAATCTCTGTCTTACTTAAAGGAAAAAGTAGAAACAGCTATGAATCAATAATAAATGCCTTAATCTGATAGGTGAAACAAGTCAACATGGAAGCTGAAATAAATTAAAGACAGACATGATAACTCATGGTTTTATGTTATTTGGAACTTGAGAAAGTGGGAGTTTATTTTGGAAAAAATCCAATTAGCTTCTACATAATTGTCTAGCCACAGAAGTATTTTCCATTTCTGGCTGTCATCACAATATTGTGTTTCCAGTTGCTTCATAACTTGAATAGAGGGGGGTTTCCCTCAGCCACACACTGTGCCTATGATATGCCTGCCCTTGTTTGGAGGATATGTTAGATTTATCTCCAATACATGAAGTGCATCCTTATTATCAATTTATCAAATCTGAAGTCTATTTCCTGGATGAGACTTAAATGCTTAACTCCTGAAATGATTTATGTATCCAGTGGTGTTGTCTCTATCTTTTAGTTATTACTCAATATATCCACATATGTTGTTCTCACTTGAGGACTGAGAAGGGCCAAAATTCACAACTTACATCGATTCCTTCTTTCACTGGTTCTTTATTTCAGTTGCACTTTAGAATCACCCGTGGAATTTGAAAAACTCCTGAGCCCAGACAGCAACTAAATGAAACAGAAGCTCAGGGTGCAACTTGGGCTCCCGTTGATTTTAATGCCCTCCTGGCAATTCCAGGACATAACCAAGACTGAGAATCACTCTCAGTCCAGTGTTTCCCACACTTGAGCTGACCCCAGGAGCACCTGGTGAGCGTACGAACACATATTAGCAGGTGCCTGGGTTTCTGATTCTGCAGGTCTCTTGAGGTCTGAGGATCTGTCTTAACAGGTTCCTAGGTGATGTTGAAATTGATGTTCCCAGGATCACACTCTGGGAATCATCAGAAGTCATTTTCTTTCCCACCTCACCCTTTGCATTTTGTTATCCATGTCCAAGTTAAGATTCTGTGTTGGAAAATGTTCCAGATTATTCCAGTCACACTGATTTCTATTTACTTCTCCTCTGTAGTCATTATATGCCTCCTGTTGGATGCTTCCTTGAATGGCTTTTATTCTACTTAGAGTTTCATATTCACATGCTTCCCCCACATGGATTTGGTGGCACCGTCCTGTAATATCAGCATCTTGGGAGGCTGAGGCAGGAGGAGGTTGAGTCACTTAGCCTGGGTTTCAAGACCCTCAGCTGACAGTGCAGCGGCTGGCAACTCACTCCTGGCCCATTCACTTCCACTCTTTTGACTCTCACTCTCCAGATCTGTTCAGTGAAATTTCTCAGTTTTGTCTTGTTGTGGAGAAATCATTGGCTCTGGATTGGGAAGACCCATCTTGACCCTGAACTTTGCCATGAATAGAACTTGGGCATTTAAAGGTTTTTATTTTTATTTATTTATTTATTTATTTATTTATTTATTTATTTATTTTGAAGTACTGTGGACTGAAGCCAGGGGCACTGTACCACTGATATATAAACCTTGCTTTATTTATTTATTTAGACAGGGTCTTTCCAAGTTGCTGAGGCTAGCCTTGAACTTGGGATCCTCCTGCCTCAGCCTCCAGAGTCACTGCATGGGATTACAGGCATGTTACTGCACCTGGCTCAGAAAACCAAAGTTTTAGAACTCATTTTTTTTTTGTTATATAAAAAAATGGTAGTTAGACTAGAAAACTATAACTAACTTCATACCTTTAAGCCTTAAAATTCATGCTAGGTACTAAACTAATCTCATTTCAAACCTGTGATGAAGAGGCTATTTTTATATGTATTATGTAGGTGAGGAAATTAGGCAGAAAGAGGTTAAGTAACCTAAATCAGGTTACACAGCTAGTGAGAGGCTGTGCTAGGGTTTGTACTTGACAACAGCTAACACTGTTATTAGCCATTCCGTTATCTCCTAGAATTATGAGAATACTTCCAGCATTGAAATATTATCATCATACAGTATTTGTTTCTTTGAAAAAAAATGTATACAAGACAGGCTGGACATGTATCACTTACCACTAGTATAGAGATGAGCAATCTGAAGCCTCCAGGAGCAAATGAGGCTAAGGATGCCTTGAATGGCATAGTGAAGAAGAGATGGCACCTGTTCCATGTGATAAAACTGAGATTCAGAAAAGTTAAAAAAATATAATCAAGAGCTTTTATTCAGTTTTGTAACAATGTTGTGTGTATCTTTAATAGGGTCCTTTAAGAAAGTTTTTTTATTTGTCTGTATAAAAGAATCTGTAAATTCAAACAGAGATAATTCAGCTGTTGCAAATCCGAGGCTAAATCAGAATACTGTATGTTGATCCCTTAAAAGAAGATTATGCACTTTTCAGGGCATATTTGTATCTTTGGAGATAAAAGTTAATGACCTTCAAATGGTTCACTCCTGTGTTCTAATAGAATGATTGCAACAAACTTACTGCCAAGGAATGAGACAGGTGTGTGTGGCAGGGTGAACAGAATCATTGGGATATATGGAATAGGTGGGTTAACTATCTGATCTCAGCACTTTTTTTTTTTTCAATTTTAGAATAAAGAACTAAAAACCAAGGTGGCACTTTGGTCTGAAACTCCTAGGACAAAAGTATGTAAGGCCGTGTCCACCAGGTAAGGTCTTTCTTTCCTCAGCCCCATCTTCACAACTGCTGTTGAACACGATTGATTTTCAACCCCCTGGAGAAAGACTGCAGTCTAATACTTATGTAATCTTTTATTTACTCTCTGTTTCTCGGTTCCTCTTCAGAACTGTGTTAATCTTGCTCACCACTGAATCTTTGAAGCCTCCCATATAATTATTTTCTGAATAAATGAATGAATACATTCGGGTACCCTCTCCCCGCTTTCTTCCTTCCAACAAGCCCAATCTCGACTTTGATATTTTCTCCAAGCATTACAGATCATCTCCTACAATGTCCTTCACTCCCTGTTGTTCATTTTTTATAACATTAGTGGACATTTTAATCATGAATTGTTCATACTTATTGAAATTTCCATATCATCTCTCAAATTAATAGATGGCAAATATCACCAGGGCAGGTCTAACTACTGGTATATTTATTTATTTATTTATTTATTTATTTATTTATTTATTTATTTATTTATTTATTTATTTATTTTCATTGCTTAAAAAATAAGTATCTCCAACAACTACCTATGAATAATCTCCAGTATTTCTCCTCTATTTCACTCTAGCTTCATTCCCTTCAAGGGCAATGAATAATCTCCAGTAACAACAATGATCCATGAAAGCCAAGGAAATGATGGTTGAAACCATCCAAGTCATGTCTAAATGCTTAATTTGTGTTGTTGTTGCCTGAATTTGAATGTGAATCTGGCTCAAATCTCATTTCCATAAACTCTTAAGAGATGATCACTTAAAAGAAAACATAGCCTGTAATTACATGTATCATTTTTTAAAAGTGATTAAAAACTTCCTGTTTGAGCAGCTTTTGAATTTCCCAGTCCGGTCCCTCTAGGGCAGAATCTCATTTCTGAAACCCTTCAGCACAGTGCCCGAGGTGGAAAATCATACTCGCTGTGATTAGCATCAGTCTAGGAATTCAGACAGATTTATCTCTCCCTTTAAAACTTCCTGCAACAACGTTTCACTTTGCTAATGATGGATATAATTGGAGACTGGAGATGAAACTATTATGAATCAAGTCCTCTAAAATCTTTGGGCCTCCAGGTGCCAAATTCTCATCTTTTTGGCCACTAGCAATGCAACTTCCAAAAAAGAAGAAATTAAACCCCAGAGGTATTCAAGGAAGAGACAAGATGCCCACATTTCAGAAGCAGGGAGATTATTAGTCACTTCAGTGTAGGGAAAGAGATGACAGCTTTGGAACAGGAGGGCAAGCATGACCTTCCAAAGGAAGGGAGGCTGATTGGTGTGCTGGTCTCTTCCAAGCAGGTAGCATTTCCCAAGGGTGGCTAAGTACCATAGAGGCGCTCAACAGCTTTGCCCTTGAAGGGAATAAAGCTAGAGTGAAATAGAGGAGAAACAACTGGTTGCAATCATGCTGTAGCCACTCCAGTATCTAATACCTCGAATCTCGCTGCTACAGAGGGAGTGTGTCAGAGAAAATGGTTTTATGGGTCAATTTCTTAGTTTCAGATAGTTAATAGTTAAAGATGTACTTTTTTAAAGACTTTCCCTGTGATGTGGGGAAAGTCAAGTGGAGGAAATTTCCTAATAGAAATGGTGAAATGGGACTGAATATCCCTTTTGTCTTGTGATTTTTGATAGAAATTCCAGGGTTAAAATAGCTCTCCCATTTGCAAAATGAAGTCTAACCCACTGGCTGTTTTAAAAATGCAATTGGTGCCAGGCTTGGTGGTGCACACCTATGATCTCAGTGACCCGAGAGTTGAGGCAGGAGGATTGCAAGTACAAGATCAACCTCAGCAACTTAGTGAGGCTGTAAAGACTTATCGAGACTCTGTCTCAAAATTAAACAACAACAAAAAAAGGACTGGGGATGTGGCTCAGTGGTTAAGTGACTCTGGGTTCAATTTTCAGTACCTGCCCCTAAGAAATAATGTAATTGGCATGGATTCACCAATATACAATGGAATTATAACTTCAGGGATAGATTAAAGTACAAACGTAGCCATTAAGTTTAAAAAAAAAAATCACACACCTAAAATCTAGTCTTGACAGAGCTGTTAAATCATCCCCAAATGTAGTTCTATGTAGTTCTATGCAGTATTTCAGGAAGTACAAACAAACAATGTTTTTGTTTTCAAACGTTAAAAAGTATAGATGTTTCTTGAGTTGAACACCAGAAGAATGGGTTTGCTTGAGATTAGGAGCCATGTTATTAAATAACAAGTCACACATATTTACCTAGGTGTGTACATTCTCAGGGATGTGTGTGCATGCATGTATACATGCATGCACATTTTAAATACTAGAATTGCATAGTGAGGAGAGAAGCTCAAGCTATAAGAAGTCCCCAGAACTTCAACATTCTGAGGGAACGCTTGGTTTGTGTTTTCTAACCTCCACCTAACTGTGGTGCGCATCTCTCCTGAGTGGAAAGGCAGACACAGGCTCTGACTCTCTGGCTTCCCTTCACTCTCTTACTCTTGTCCTGTCAAACCTAGCTGAATCTGCATAAGCTAAATGCTTTCACAATGTGATCCTACTGTATCTTGGGAGAGTTGACGAGAACAGATCCATGATGACCATCTCTTGGATCAATGCAGTTCAGACTTGGCAACATGGTGGGAGTGGAGGTGGGAGCGGAGGTGTGAGTGGCGGTGGTGCAGCCATTGGATCGCTAGGGTTTCATGTGCTCTCTTTTGATACTCGTGTGGTCTTTTCTCCAGTGAAACGAAGACTGAAGGCACTTCCCCTTATGTGATGTTGATTAGACTACGGAAATGAACTTCGGGATAAAGATCCAGTTAAGAAGGACAATATGGATCTCATTCTTTCCTCAATATGGTGTCTAAACATTCCTGTTAAAATAGCTTAATGCAAGTATTTAAATGGGATTTATTATCTATCGGTTGCTTTGGCAGAAGATGATATTCCAGAAAACCATGCACATATATACTTGAAGAAGGAACTCTTTCTTCAAAACTTGGTAAATAAACGAAGAGTCCAGGTGCTTTCTTGGAGGGAAGATGAATTCTGTCTCAAACCTAAAAGCAAAGAGAAAATCTGAATCTTGTTTCCAGATTTTTGCTAAAGGAACTCTTTCAAATTTGTCAGTTTTGACATTTTGATAGTGGTTTTTATGTGTACAAGCAGAGTGAATAGATGTATGAATAAATAGTCTATTTAAAGTTGACTTAGCTAATAAAAAATATCTTACTATGACATAAGTTTATCTCCTAACCTATTGTTAAAGAGCAAATTGTTTCCTGCTGAATTATGGACAAAGGAAAGAGTAGATTCTTCTAAGCTAATTTCCTAACCCATCCTGCCCACAGAAGATGAGAATCATGGCTGCATTCATGCAAACATACTGATGCTCAGGAAAATACAATACACTGCAATTAAACGAGCAAGGAGAGACTAAAGGGGAATTCTCTTTAAGACCTTCATCATCCACTGTGTATAACTCTCAACATTTTCTCAGGAAAATGTTTCCAACCTTTCAGTATGGAATATGAAGTATCAGTATTATTTATTAATATTTAAAGGTATGTACAAGTGAGGTGAAGTATTTATAAATTCATGCAAGTACTGTAGTCCTCTAATGTTGCATTACTCACTGTGTGAGTTTTAGCAAACAATACAAATGTTTGTCCTTGCAAACATTTGTATTGTTTGCTAGTTTTTAAGGTAGTTATCTAATAAAATTTACGTCTTAGTTATCCTATGCTGGGGCAATTCTAAGCACTTTACCTGTTTTGATTCTTGTCATTTTCTCTCAGACCCTCAGAAGCAGGTCATGTCATTATCCCTGTTTACAGAGAGATACTGAGAGTGGTTATGTAATTTCCCAACTGCTAATTGTGGACAAGGATTTGAACCTCTGACTTGGCTGTTGATATTCATTCTGCCTGCTCACTTGGTGGTCTGAGATATTTCTCAGTAATAGAAATACCCCTCTTCTTGCTGTATATCAAGCATGCAACTTCCATGAGGGCTGTCCGTCTACATTATCCTGTGGATGAGGGTCAGAAAAATCATTTACTGAGACAATCAATATTTCCTGAAGTGAGTTTGTCTTTCACTCGTTAGACTAACATCTAAAGAATTTAGGCAAACATTTCTGCTGAGAATCTGCTTATTTACGTTTATTATTCATGATTTCATGCAGTATTTTTAGGGTATACAGAGAATCCACTTTTCCCTGAAGTTCCTTTGATGCCCTTTTAACCTTAAGCATTCTGTTAGATTTTAATAACTTTGAGATTTTGAAATGAACCCATTTAAGTAACGAAACAGCCTTCATAATTTCTAATAGAACAATTTATTCTAAAGTAAAAAATGGAAAAACCCTCATGTGCTTTATTTTGACTTTGCTATACTCAGTTTTGAACATCAAAGTACAGTTGGAGACAATACAGATGATACCTGCCCTCCAGGTCCACTTTGAAATGGACTTTGAATTCCCTGGGAATACCAATCAGCAATTACAGAAGCCTCAAATGATTCAGACTCATCAAAAACAAAGATACCTTTATAGTAGCATCAGTTTTATCTTTCATTTGTCATATTTTGGTTATTTTTCATACCCTTATGGATTTAGAATTTATCATTTAAAATGTTTTTTATGTAACATTTCAAAACAGTTAGAAATGTTTCTTAAATAAACATTTCTGAACAATAAAACAGAAGAAATGGGGAATGAAATTCATTACTTTGAAAGTAAATTTCTATAAAGAAAATACAGGAGAAGAAATAGTAGTTCAGTTGTATTTTAAATAACCGCATTTCTAAATACAATAAATAATAAAATAAA